GCGAATAAGATTCCAACGAACAGTGGTTTGATCAAAGTCATGGTGATGGATGATGTTTTAATCACTAACTTAATATCCTTTATTTGAGGGTTTTTATTTTACGTCTCACCAATTTATTATCTTTGTTAGAATGTTATTGATTGGCATGTTATTAAACATTCAACCTTAGTAAGCATTCTAAGCAAAATTAAATGTGCTGATACATGGCCCACTAAAATTGATTTTCTTAAGCCTAGAGGAATTGGTAGGTCACCCTAGGGTTTAAAAATAAAACTTGGGTCTTCAAGTTATTCCTCTTCATTGCTCCTTCATTTCTTCATCACGTTCATTACAAAGATTTTACAAAATAAAATCCTATTTTAATTTACATCAATAAAATAGAAACATCGCATTACATACGAGGGGAGTGAGATGAGAAGAAGAAATACATGGAGATATTGGAGAGAAGCAGGACATGGGGGTCCTATTTATTTAAAAAAAAATTACAAACAAGCCCAAAATTAAAATTAAACTACAGGTCTAAGGCTCATGTACCGAGCACCATGCAATTATCAAACAAGAACATAACTATATTCAAAACAATCAATTTTGAATTGGGTGGGAATTATTAAATTACTCTCTTAAATGTACAGAATATTTATTGGCTTTAAAGGTTTTGAAAAACTATAGTTCGGTCCTTGTGTGAAAAACACAAATTGGTCCAACAGCTATCTCGCCATGTAGGAGAAAATTCTTCGCCGCGACGAAGTTCAAATACCACACGGTCACCACAACGAAGTTTTATTTCGTCGCAACGAGATTGAGCCACCAGATAGCTCTAGATTCCAGAATGCATCTTCCCATGGTGAAGTTTTCTTTCACAGCGATGAGATCTACTTCTTCACCTTTCGTCGCAGCGAAGTATTATTCCACCATGGCCAGAAGCCACAATATCACGATCCCTGTGGCGAAGCTTTATTTATTTGCGGCAAGCGCTACAGGTCTGTAAACGTACAGTTCACATTTTGCAATTTTTTGCAATTCCGAATCGAATCAAATGCATTAGCATACGACCAAGATATCAACCAACCAAAAAATCATTCATCAACACATTGATTATCATTTGATCAATCAAATGATGCAATTAACACGAATTTTACAGATTTTAAAAATAGTTTATATAATAACATGTTATCAACCAAATCTCATGTTATCAAACATCAAATAAAATACAATAATCATTTACCTGAGGCTCTGATACCACTATAAGTAATTGATCTCTAGTAGGTAGCAGAAAAACAACAATAAACCGAAAAATCAGTTACTTTTGTGCCAAGATCCGGGTATTGATTACAATATTTTTCATGTTAATAAACAATCTGTATAAAACAAAATTAATCCATTCAAGGATGAGAAAAACTTACGTACGTTTGGAGGCTCCTTCAAATGTCTTTGATTTGATTTCACTTCCGATTCAATATAGAATCGTACAAACGTTGATCTACACGAAGACAATCTGTCGAACCAAAAAGGGATTTCCTAGATCCACTTGATGGCTTCAAAATTAACTTTCAAAGAATCAAGAAGAGAAAAATTCTTCTCTTCAATCAATGAGAACATATGAGAGAGAGTGAGGGTGACTAGGGTTTTTTAATTCAATCAATGAATAATAATCCTCTAATTTGTTTTAATTAAGTTTCACTTATATAATGTCACTTAATTAAAACCCTAATCCCATTGGGAATAGCCATGGATTCACATATTAATCCATCCTTGTAACCAAACACCCTTTTATGGTATTTTAATTTTATATAATTATTATTATAATTAAAATCAATTAATATATATTAACATTTAATTAATAATAATTCATTTAAATATATGCGAACACATATTTAAGTATAATCTCACTAATTTTAACTTTAATATTAAAATTAAATACAGGCACCAACCTCAGCAAATTTAATTGTACTGTGGGATTACCAAAATACCCTTTCATCCTAAAAGATAAAAATACCCATTTCACAAACTGATTCTTAAATTATCTTCTAAGTGTGTGACCCATAGGCTTATTATCATATCGGTAGTGAGTAGTATCGCTATTAACATAAATTAATCGTTTCACTACCCATAAACCAAGATTGGCCCCTAGCAAGGCATCATGGCCACCTGATAGATTCAGATTCAGTGAAATAGCTACCTATCAATGATATGGTTACTGTACAATCAAATCCTTTAATCATGCGTTATCTCATTAAGGCTAGGGTACAGAAATAATGTCAACCTCAGTTATTCTCGATATTTTTGTATTCAATTACTAAACCAATGATTGGAATAATAAATTGGATTGAGCAACAACTCAATCCCACTGTGGCCACGGATTTGGTGCTATTGTTATTTACTGAATTGCACAGTGAGATAACTTCTTCCATACCCAGGAGTAATGAATCATTTGTCGATCCATCATAGTCTTGATACACTCCTTGATATAGCCAATCACTATCGTATTGATAGCTCTAAATAGGACTATGTTGGGCTAGTGTCAAACTACACTGATCAGTGCACAAGGAGCTCAGGTGATCTCAAGTCTAAGGATCACATGCACCACCATTTGTTAGAGAATTATTCCATAGACACTAGGGTTACCATCCATATGGAATCCTCTAACGGGTCTGTCTAGTGAACTTATCTTCAACAAGCACCCATGCGTTGCACCAAGTTGTCGGCAAACAACCTTGACAAGTGAGATGAGTCACTATCTTTTGACAAGGTTGTTCAACACTATGATAACCTTACTGTATTATCTGTGTCCTTGGTCATAATAATACTAGAGTTACAGACATTTCTAGAATGGTCACCATAAGTGATCATAAGGTTCTCACTATCAAGATTTGAAACGTTTGGTACTCTCGTCATGGTTCTACTATCTTAAGGACAAATATCAATACACCCAATTATGATTTACACGATATAGTAGAAAAAAATTTTTATTGATTAATAAGCATTATTAAAGAGAGTCAATTCTACAATAATTGTTTGGCTTTAGGGCACTTTCTCTAACAAAATCTTGGAGCATCCTCCATTGGTTGACCTACCATCCTAGTAAGGTAATAATCCTTTCCTCGACCTCTTACAAACATCATCACCGAACTAGACCATAGGATATAGTTTTTGCCATTCAGTTTGTGCCCTATAATAGGAAAAATTGAGCCATCGGATCCACCATGATTGATGGACTCAGACACTTCATGGTTGATGTTTGAACTAGTAATTCTTTGACCAGTTATGACTTTGGAGATATTCTCGACAGTGGCTTCTTTATCGATTGTCGTTCCATATTTTGTCGTGGCAGATTGAAAGAATGGTTTTAGCAGGTTGAGAGAAGAGCTTTCAACAAGTTGAGAGAGGCTTCAATAGGAAGAGTTAAGAGTGGTTTCAGCAGGAAGAGCTAAGAGAAGAGATGGCAGAGAGGTTTCAACAACTAAGCTCTAATACCATGAACATTTTTGAGAGAACTATGCTTTTTATTTTCTGATGATAATAGCTAGAAACAAACCAGCTATTTATATAGATTTAGGACAAAATAAAAAATGAAAGAAATCAAAATCCTTAATTTTAATACAAGAATAATCAAGGCTGAAGATCCTTGATTTTATACTAGAATCAGGTATGAAGATATGTAATCAACAGTTGTAGTCACACAGCTGTAAACTTGTGATTATGATTTTCTACAAGTTTAAATGAGTACCTACTACTTTTAAAGTACCTAATTTAGGGTTTTGCTCAATTGCAGGACAAATTTATCTTCTTTTTCCTAAGTGCTAGAGGGTACCAATTAACGATCACAAATGGAGCCAAAGTATTATCTAGTTATTCTTATTTTGGTCTTATAAAATAATCTATTTATTAACAACTAGTAGATTTGTGATAATTGGAATTAACAATGTCTCTTGGTGCCAAAAGTTGTGGATACACTTATGGATAATAGAATTCTGGAAAAGGGATGATCCTAATAAGGTCTGAATTAACTGTTCTTTTTTTGTGTCTTATAAAAGAAATTTGACTTAATGTCAACATCTGTACATGTAAATAACCCTTAAGAAAACTAGGGTAAAAATATATTAAGAATGAACCAAATATAAATTCAAAATCACCGATTATGTAATTAAGAATTAGTAGAGAGGTAGAATGGGAAATATAAGTGTGAGGGGTTGCAAGCTGGAAATTGCAATGAGTCTGAAATGAGGTTGGGCTTGGTCGCTGTGGATGGGAAATGAGATCGGATTAGAACTTAGAAGTGTCAAACTGTGTCAATGTCCATCTTTAACCATATAATTAAAGTCCATTTGTGTTCAGTGTCAAGTCAAACGCCATAGCCCAATACCGTATTCGGGTAATTAATTAATCAATAAAGAAGGAGAAGACAATATTATTAAATCATAAAAAAATATTGATCCTTGAGCTTTGATCCCCTAGTTCATTGGAAATAGGATGTTTAATGCCCCAGATGTGGCTTTTCCGTCAGTACAAAGGAAATAATCACATGTGATTAGTCAACCCTGTTTGCATTGATTAATTTCCTTTGCACATTGTTGTCTCGAACTGTCTCAGCAGTTAGATCAATTAGGTTCATAAATCTGGATAGAAGATACTTTAATGGCCACAGTCTGTAGTTTTTCGCATTATTTGTAAGCTAATAGTTGTAAATCTGGAGAGCAATTCGGCACGAAGGATTTTAAAATGTTCAAGGCTATCAAAATACCGGTTATCAGGGTATCACTCTAGTCTTTTATTATGGTTAAGTTCAAAAAATGACGATGCTTTGCTGGCGAATGGCAATACATCTGCAATCAAACAAAGCTCTGATTCTATATGTTTTGATTCCCTTTCAATGAAGTTTCCTGAAGATTAAAATAGGGGTTAGTTGGAAACTTGACCATCACACCTTAGACTTATAATGAATGGGATTCACACTATTTATAGTCAAATAGGTTCCCTTCCATGCCATAACACTGAATGCCATGGCCACATTTACCTATGATTTCCTCAATTTCACTTTCTTCATTTTCTTCATTGTTCTTCTTCCCTCTGCCGCTTCACTTAACTTCCGAATGCCGCGTTTTGACCCCAATGATGACAGAATACTTTATCAGGGAGATGCAGTACCTTCCGTCGGAGGTATTGCATTGAATTATAAAGACACTTTTTCATGTCGTGTTGGCTGGGCCACTTATGCCGAGAGGGTACCGCTTTGGAACTCTGATACCGGAGAGACTTCTGACTTCAGTACCAAGTTCTCCTTCATAATCGACACCAAGGATAGTCCTAGTCGTGAATATGGCAGTGGACTTGCGTTTTTCTTAGCTCCTGTTGGATTTCAAATCCCTCCGAATTCGGTTGGTGGCTTTTTAGGCCTGTTCAACACCACAACTGCTTACTCATCTTCAAACCAAATTGTTATGGTGGAATTTGATTCTTACTGGGATGATGGATGGGATCCTGCGGATATTTTTAATCAAGACCATGTCGGGATCAACTATAACTCGCTTGTTTCAGCTGTCTATACGCGCTGGAACGCTAGTTTCCACAGTGCAGACACCGCTGATGTGCAGATTACATACAATGCTACTACTAAAAACTTGAGCGTCTCTTGGACCTACCGACAGACCTCTAATTCTCAAGAGGACACAAGTTTATCTTACATAATTGATCTGAGGAAGGTTCTTCCAGAGTGGGTCACTATTGGGTTTTCAGCTGCTACCGGCGCGAAATTAGAGAGAAATATCCTTGAATCATGGGAGTTCAATTCAAGTTTGGTTGGAAAGGAGACAGACGGAGCGGATGCAAGAAAGACCAAAATAATAGTTTCTGTCACAGTTTCATTGGGTGTTCTTCTAATAGCTGCTTTAGTAATGACCGGACTTGTAGTTTCGCGAAGGCGGAATCGGAAGCAGATGAAGAAAGATCCTGGAGAGACAATGAACTTAACTTCCATCAATGATGACCTTGAAAGAGGTGCGGGACCAAGGAAGTTTTCCTACAAAGATCTCGCGACTGCAACCAATAATTTCTCGGATGATAGAAAGTTGGGTGAAGGAGGGTTTGGTGCCGTGTACAAGGGTTACTTTATTGATATTGACATGGCTGTTGCGGTGAAAAAGATTTCAAAAGGTTCTAGACAAGGGAAAAAAGAGTACATAACTGAAGTGAAGACTATTAGCCAATTGAGACATCGAAATTTGGTGCAACTTATCGGTTGGTGTCACGATGGTGGTCAATTTCTTTTGGTATATGAGTTTATGCCAAATGGAAGCCTTGATTTTCACCTCTTTGGCAAGAAGACCAGTCCTCTTACTTGGGCTGTGAGATACAAGATATCTCTTGGTTTGGCCTCGGCTTTGCTCTATCTCCACGAAGAGTGGGAGCAATGTGTGGTGCACCGAGATATCAAATCAAGTAACATAATGTTGGATTCTAATTTTAATGTCAAACTAGGTGATTTCGGATTGGCGAGGCTCATGGACCATGAGTTAGGTCCTCAAACAACTGGGTTGGCTGGAACTTTAGGTTATCTGGCCCCGGAATACATTAGCACAGGAAGGGCTAGTAAAGAATCCGATGTATATAGTTTTGGAGTGGTTGCTCTAGAAATTGCTACCGGGCGGAAGTCAACAGATCCCATGAAGGAACAATCTGAAATGGGGTTGGTGGAGTGGGTTTGGGATCTTTACGGAAGAGGAAATCTTCTTTTGGGAGTTGATGAAAAACTGGGAGTGGATTTAGATGAAAAACAAGTAGAGTCTTTGATGATTGTTGGATTATGGTGTGCTCACCCAGACCACAGTTTCAGACCTTCAATAAGGCAAGCAATTCAAGTTCTTAATTTCGAGACGGCCATGCCAAATCTTCCAACGAAGATGCCGGTTCCTATGTATCATATACCTACTGATCCATCACTCAGTTCCGGTGAACCTTTCATTACAAATTCAAGCATTGAAGTGGGTCGTTAGAATTTTAATTAATTTCTACTGTTGTTGTAGCCATGTACTGATTTCTCTTTGATGATATAATTAATTCATGCATCGAAGTGGATATATGATATATCATTTGACTTTTGTGTTGTTTACTTGTTCTCTTTTGATGATATAATAAAGATAAGATGGCAACATATGGTGTATATACATATATATATCAATAAAAAATTAAAAATTAAAGGTTGAAACTAAATTATATGCGGAATTTCTCTAGTTAATTAGTAACGAAATTTCCATAATCTGATGTACAAGTTTCTTTCTTTTTATTTCAGAGACACAAACAACAACCGAATGGAACAGCAGGACATTTAGTTATCTAATAATTAAGAACGATTCTTGTTATTCTGATCCTAATCGATCGGAAAGATGATGACTTAGGCTTCAGGATATATTTTCTTGCTAGGAAAGCGAAAGACAGCATGAAAATCTTTTGTAGACTCATATAAATAATTTCTCTACATATCTTGTTCGGATTTTTTTAGTAATATATGTGTGTTTTGATTTGGTACAGCTAATGATAAGACTTAGTCAACTTTCTCTTTCATATTGTATTTTAGATTTTGTATGCACGTCCCTAGAAAAATCAATTCTAATATTTCTTCCTTCTTAATTATTATAAAAGAGTAGCTTGCTAGGGATATTTTCTGCTATTTTTTAATATTTGATAGATATATAATTATAAATAAGCAGAGATTTCAAACTTAGAAGCCCCTAGGAAACTTATTTATTTTAAATTGAGATGATAAGGCAAGAATAAAATTGTTTTATCTAAATGGGTTAGGAACTTAGGATATTCATGAAACATTATTTGACATTTTGTTTATTTTATATTTGTTAATTGTCTTATATATATATGATTCGTGCAACATTATTTGACATTTTCCACTCCCTACAAATATATAATGTTGTATGATCTGTAAAAGTAAATGTTAATATAATTCAAAAATAAAGGTCCTAAATTCTTATACTGTAAAATATCAGGATACTGAAACGGGAAGAAGATATAAGAGGAGTCACATCCAGGAGTTAAAAGGGAAATTTTCTTAGCAGAAAAGGCATTTAAGTCGCTGATTTTGATACAAAATAAATTACATTTATGTATCTATGCATTCTTGGTCTCATTTAGAAATTCAAACACCAAAGGGATCTTCACTCTTCAGGTACGTACAGAGTACTAGAAAATAGAAATCTCTTTTGGATATTATTTTTTAACTCAAGGGTACGTTTCCACTTGCTTCCTTCGAGTTTTGACCTATAATTATAATCCTTTGCATGTAATAAGCCGGAAGTTTCTCCTTAATTAATCCTCAAAGTCAAGGCCATCTTAATCTTCTGAGTGCTTTTATACGTATAGCTTAGCTGCCTTGAATATCTTATTGGTTAACATTTCTTGTTCTGTACTTGATGAAGCTCACTTCCTTGTCAAAGATTAGTTCAAAAGACTTCGTATACATAAAACAATGAATAATGTATCTGTTACGAATTAGCTCATATATAATCTATTATATGATGTAGAATTGTCACATTTATTTATTTGTGAATAATTTGGTAGATGAAATTATTACAAATTAATGTGATATGAAGTAATTTAAAAAAGGTAAAAGCGTATGAATAATTTAAATTAAAATAGGATATGTGACAACTATATAGCATATATTGACATATGAGTAGTACTTAATTTATACAAGAAGTTTACTTTTTTAGTATTACATTTTATTCCAAATCCTAAGTAATTTTTTAGAATGTTGCTATCTATTTTAAGTTTTAATTTTTTTTTTTTTTTTTTTTGATGAAATTGTATTGAGTCCTTTGAATGAATCAATTACCTGAAAATTTGTATATATAACATTATTTAATTTAAAGTAGATTATCTTTATACATCATGCTTTAGGATCCGTTTGGGAGTTTCATGGTGGCGGTTATGAAGGTAAACTACTGTAACGGTTTTGAGAGTAAACAATCGTAGTAGTTTTGAAAGGTTTTTAGTAACGGTTTTTAAAACACCAAACCTGTGCTTGAGAGTTTATTTTCTTGCGGTTCTAACAGTTTTTTAAAGCGATAAATTTATACATATGTCCATAAAAATACCCCAACTCTAACCAATACTTTGGAGTTTTGTTTTTTCAATTACAAGGTAAAAATTCTTTATTTGTTTTCTACTTATTAGTATTTTATAACTTCAAATATGATAAAATCTTTTTATCCTTCTTCACTATTCTTTGCAGCATCTGAAATGATTGAAAAATTGTAACTCCACTTCTCCAAGAAAGCATCTAGAAATGAGATTTTAATAATTTTTTTTATGATTGCTTAAAATTATTTTATATTTAATATGTTTGAAGATGTGCATAATATGGTTTTTTTTTTTTTTTTTTTGATATAATTGGGATAGTTTTATAGTAGATAGGGTATTTGTTGAATAAAATTTTAAAACCAACCAAAATACCTCGATTTTTGGTGTTTTATCAACCCCTCAAAAATACACTATACTGGTTCTGGAGGGTTTTTGAGTCAGTCAAAACTAGTGTATAAAAAATTTGGCAAGTAATGGTTTTAAAACACATCAAAACCAATCTAATTAATAACCCCTTAAACCAGTGGAAAAAAACTCTCAAGCAGACTCTTACAGTTTTTGATTTTGTTTTGTATTAAATATTATTGAATAGTATGTATATCTAATCCCATGTTTAATTTAATATATATATATATATATTAAAATACTATTAATAATTATATATTAAAATACTATTAATAATTTGTGAAAAGGGAAGGAAGACGTTTCATTCAAAAGGTCACTCATAAAATTAAATCCATTAAGAAAGTTGGAGATGGATTTTATTCCATGAATGTTTAACAAAGGGGGAGTGTTCTTTGATGAAGAGAAGGATTTGTATGCATTGATTTATAGAATTTTTACTGGTTAGTGGGCTTGTCAGTGTCAATAAAGGCTCAAATGTTTCAGAGTGGACTGTGTTTAGAATCTCTAAAGCGGGATTGAGTAACAATCAATATCATTTTAACGGATTTCGGCTGGGCTACGACTCCTAAATTCCCAATTCCCATGAATGGTGTCCACCAAAACTCCTTCAAAACCCATATCTAAAAAATTATAAGCCCCACACAATCTCTTTCTAAACTATAATAATTAATTAAAATTATTTTTAAAATATAATTTACAAACATATAATGGCCTGTTTGATAAGCTTTTAGGAATATTATTATTAGTATTTCCAAAAAAAATTAAACAGTAAAATGTCATTATTCTCAAAATATTATTCTATATTTTTCAATTTCTTTTAAACCTCCTAAATTTGTTAATTTAACTAAACACCCCCAAATTTTTTTTTAGAAATTGTAAAAATACTTCGACCACCCTCCGACGGTGGTGGCCGGCTGTCCGTATTTAATGGGTGGGTTAGGGGTATTTTTGTTAACTTTTAATATTTTATTATAGGGGTGTTTAGTAAATAAACAAACATATGAGATATTTTTGTTAATTTCCAAATCCTACATCGTAATACCCGCCCAATTTAACTTTTTTCAAAAGATTATTTTAAAAACTATTAGAATAATGAACCAAACGGAGCCATTATATTTCATTCCAAGACTACCCTTTCTAAATTTTCTTCCAAAATCTCTTTATAAACCTTACGTTGAATTCTAGTCTTTATTTTTTTTCTTATCTCTTAATTCTCACAGTATTCATGCAATAGCAGTATATTTGCTCTTTGAAATCTATGAACAATTTTTTTATTCTAAATACCCTCCACCACGTTAATGAACTGTTCTATTGATTTTTTTAAAACTAACAAGCAGCTAACCCTTGTTGTAGGAAGAAGGTGATGAGAGCTTGTTTGGTATAAAACTTTTTCATATTTCTCTTTTTTCACCAAGAAATGAGAGATGCCAAAAATCAAACTAAGGAAATTTATACAAAAAATTAATCAAAACTTACTTTTTCTCGAATACTGTCATTCATTGATCGAAATCATCTTCCATCCCTTCAAAAAACTATTAATCTTGAAAAAATAATTCCAAACTTGTAAGGAAAGTTTAGTGTTTTTATGAAATAAAAGAGTTTTTTTAATAGTTGAGATAAACTAAAAGATTTAATGCCCTTTTTGGTAAATACAAGTTTAAAAAATAAAAAATCTTTTGAAAAATTATTATTACGGCTTAGAAAATTATTGAGAGGGGTTTAAATAACACCACTCTTTAAAAAGACCACCCCTTTATCTTCGTAAAGCTTTTATCATCTGTATTTTTTTTTTTTTCTTAAATTCAATTATATCTCTTTGGTAAATTCAACTGTATCACAATTCCATCAGCTTAGAATGTTAATTGTATTGTTATATTTGGTAAGCCATGTTAATTGTATTATTATATTTGGACTTAAGCCCACTATATAGTCTAAGATTTCCTAGTTGTTTTTGTGTCCCACATCACCAAGTTAGTGAGATCATCATTCTTATTAAACATTATATATGTATACTATTTCAGAGATAATAAAGTAAATTCCTTTCACCAAAAATTAAATTGGTATCTGAGCCTCCTCTTGTGTAGTTAGACTGTAAGTTTTGGTTACCTTCTGCCATCGATCTCCTTAGATCAGTTGCCGATCTTGTTGATTTTCTTATACTAGTTCAGATCATAGGGACATGTGTAATTTTTCAAACTTATGGGGTTTCATTTGCAAGTGTGTTTGTAAGATTGAAAACTTATAGGGCTGTTTTAAAATTTGTGTTGCTGTTGGTGTTGTTAGTTGCTGTTTGGTTGATTTTTGGCCAGTGCAATTATTTGCAGTTTGGGAGTATTTGTGTTTATTGGGTGTTTTTTTGCTAATGGTGTTGGTTTGATTCACCTGGTTAATAGATTCTAATGTGCCTCCTTCTAAGGTTGCCAGGCTTATTGATGTTGTCTTTAATGGAACCAATTATGTCAAATAGCATAAGGCCATGAAGAGTTTCTTGAAAGGTTGCAAATTGTGGCATTATATTACTAGTGATATCAAAGAACCCAAACAAAGGGAGCATGAAACCATTAGATGATTACCTGATTCTATAATAC